CCATCAGACACTGTGATGGGGATCTCTTTCCATTCATTACCTAACAACAATCTCCATTATAGTTGCAATGTGTACTGATACTCCTGCTATTTTTATAGGGGGAAAAAAAGAAGTTACTTTTCTCTTTGGGACATTCAGAATATTGATTAGAGTATCTATTGCCACCCAAAGCAGCTTTACAGAAATCAGGCTGAAATTATTATTCTAGTAAATAAGGACTCTTTGGGGTTTTTTTTTCCCCTATGTGTAGTCAAAGTTTTTGCTGCTTAGCAAAGATACTATAATTAGTAAGTCAGCTTATGCACTTAATAAGAGACCTATCAGAAAACCATGAAAAATAGTATAGTCATCAGCAGAGTCAGTTGCCAAGTCTTGATTTATTTTGTGTGTGTTATGTTTGCTTTCTTTAAATCATAATTGAAACTTGACAGAGGTTTATTTAAGTAGCAATTTCTACTACATGTTAAAGACTGGTAGCATTCTGAATCCACTGCTGAGAGTGATTGTCAGCAAAGTCCAGGTTACTGATGCTGGCAGGATACAGCCAAGAATCCAAACTGATGGGTTCTGCCTACTGGAGGAGCTTTCAGGTATTTTTCATTGTGTTGTTACCAGTTTACAGTTGTCTGGTGTAGCTCACCCTGTAGCACAGGGCTATAACGTACCCTGGGGGCGAGTCTAGCACATTTGTAACAAGAGCTTTCTGTCATTTTTAGAAGTCTTGTGGGAAACTTCAAGTTAAACCCCACAGGCTGAGGACAGTGATGAACTTTGGTAGCTCATTTTAGGCCTGCAAATGCCACCTAGACAGAATTAAGTTGCTCTTCCCCTCAAGACTGCCTCCCATGCTGTGTGGACCATCCTTGTTGCGTTCTAGCCAAGAAGGGAACTATCCGGTTCTCCTCGTCCTTGTTGTAACTTGTCCCAACTCTTCCCTCAAGTGGCAGTGGTTGGGATCGGGAGTGGCAGGGTGCTGCAGTGAAGGACTTACTCTTGCTTCTCTAGACATACCTGATGTGGTTATGTCAGTAAGCTGGATGAGGAAAAGCACTCCAAGTTTGCAGGTCTCCCATCCCAAATCTGAAGGAGCTCTTAATTTTCCTGATCTGGAGCAGTAGACTGTCCATTTACAATAAACAACACAGATAAAAAAATATTCACATATATTTGTTATTTAGTGTTTAATCTAAAGTCCAGAGCTTATATAAGGCCTCAGGTTATTAAATATCCTTCCCCATGTTCCATTGTGTTCTGAATTAATCTCTCTGTGGGAGCTTTGCTTCTGGGTCACATCTGTAGATGAACTGAGAGAATTGCCCTAAATGTCATTCAGCGTTTATTGCAGCTGCTTTAAAAGATACAAAAAACCCTCATACAACAAGAAAACCCATACAAACCTCAACTGAATCAGCACGAAATCTTAGCTTTATCCTCTTGACTTTCTCAACTCTTAATTCAGCTCAAGAAATATTACTCATGTATCCCAAATAATGCCTGTTATTGTCTGGCTTTTTAATTAAAACTTCATGACCTTTTAATGAGGAAGTAGTGAAATTACCCATCGACAGGCAGTGTGAGCTTTCCCCCAGGTTTCCCAACCTTGGGCGACCTGTCTCTCCAAGCTAGGAGTCGTGTCCCCGAGGCACTGACACTGAAGTTCAATTGTCTGTAAAGACAGAAAGGAATCAACCAGGCTTTGCAAGGCTCTGACTTATAGGGAGCCAGCGACTGATAACTTTCGAGGTCAGTGCAATCTGTGTGGAAAAACTGAACAATAAATTGCTGGAGCCTCTTAGGCCCTCCCTTCTGCTGGGGGCAGGATGAATGTATAGTTTTGCTACACGTATTAGTAAAGCATCTGAAATGTTCAGGGTTGTCCCCCTTCCCTGTATTACCATTCCTTCGTTTCCTTACCCTCTCCAAGGCAGCTTATCCTGGATGTTACCCCCAGCATATACCCAGATCTTGCCTGTGTTTTGTGAGAAGCGTATGTCCAGTGAAGGTGCTCCAGCAAAGCATGTGTGGCCTTTCAGAAATGCCCTGATACATGTGAAAAACTATTGTAACCAATGCCTTATCCTTGTTTGTCAGTGTTGCCTTCCCATCCGTCTGTTAACCTGCTGAGGATTTCCTATTACATCATACTGAACTAAGATACTTTGCTGCGCCTGAGCCACGTTGTAGGTGTGGTGGTGCTTTATCTGTATTACTTATTCCTCTTTATTATGGTCAAATCATCTCTGGGTTCCCTGCAAGTAACAACTTTGTTTTTCCTTATGAGAGGAAAGGGAGAAGTTAGGAGTGGTGGGTTGGGAATAGAGCAGAAGAGGAGGCTGGAGAAATACATAAGAGCATCAGGATGTCTTAAATTTCACTGCAGCCTCTATACCCAGCTATCCCCATGGAGTATAGGCGGCTCCCTCCACCCTGCCGTGGCTGCTGAGTCACTGCTTAGAGGCACTTGGCTTTCACTGCTGTACAGTGTATGCCTTCAGGGGAATTTAGGCTGTCAGAATATGGCCCCTAGCTGGTGTTTAGTTTAGTTCATTATTGAAAAGAAATTTACAACAGTCGCCAGAGGCCCACAACAGCATCACAGCAGCATACTGTGGCATTGGAATATGTTTTACATGCTTCATATTGAACCAGTCATGGCAGCATGGGGGAGTCTGTTAGTAACTGGTATTACAGTGGGAATATTTCCTACTTAATCAACATCCAGAGAAAACCCTGATGACCAAAGGAGTGAATGTACAATCTCAGGGTGTCTGGACTGGCTGCCTCTCCATCCTCAGCACATGATGGTAGAAGCACACCACAGTGCCTACCTCCTGCTGTGCTGCTCTCAAGCATCTGCTGGAACAGGACAGGTCAGTGCTGAGTGGAGCCCTGTCCTCACGTGCTGCACAGCAGCCCCAGCCTGTGGTGCTCAGCATTTGGTCTCTCTGTATCAAGTAACCTCTGCCTTCACTTAGTGTCTTGGCTCTTCTTTTCCATTGCCTTACTTTGCAATGCTGGTTGCTTCCTCCTAGGTCCTAGAGCTCTGTTTTGTTTTAATGGCATTTCAAAAGAAATATAGCTAAATATAGTTCTTGTAGTGAAACATGGCTTTTACAGCCGGAGTCTTGAATTGTCTTCTCAGTGCTCACAGAGCAGAACTTGCTTTGGGTTTGCTGGGGGATGTGTGGTGTCTGAGCATTGTCACAAATGTAATGCTTTATTAATTTTGATTTCATTCTGGATCAAGACTTTGTGGTGATCTTTTAAGTAGTTATTGAAGGCTTGATAGCTTTTAACCCTTCCCCTGAGGAACTCTGCGCATCATTTCTCTTGAGAGTTTCTGAACATGTTACTGAACTGGATGATGTTTCCCACAGCCCAGCAATTTAAAGGAACTGATGAAGAAAAGTTCCTTTTATGATCTTTAAGATCCCTTACAACCCAAACCATTCTGTGATTCTATGATTCCTTTGCTCATGCACAAATACCTTCCAAAATTCTGTGGACTGAAAATGAGATTTACATCCCACCCCTGCTAAAACAACACGATTAAATCCTTATGTTCCCAGTGCTGTCCTGTACTACAGCTTCCATTGTTGTAGGAAAGTCCATGAATGGGTTTACCAAGTTTTGCAAAATGGTGTGGTGAGATGTCTGGGGAGAGTGGACAGAGAAACCTCAGTCCCATACTGAGCTCAGTCTCCGCTGTTCATTGGTACAGGGATTGATAATTTCCACTGTGAAATATTGCAGTGTCACTGCCTAAGTTGCACAGCTCTCCCAAGTGCCAGGTTGGTGCTTCTGCCGGGGGTCCCCTTCTGCTTCAGTTGCTCTCACTGCAGCTACTGCCCATGAGAGCTGTGCGTGGGCTCTCTCCTGTGCCTGCCAACTCCTTCTGAGGTGGTTTGGGGTTTTTTTGCGTGTCTGGAGATCCTTTCTCCTCCTTGGGAAGTGAGGAGTTGCAGTGTGTCTGTGCAGAGTACACCCGTGTACAAGGGGAGTCCTCTTCAGCTTCCCTCACAGAAAAGTGCATTGCTGCCTTATGGCTACTCCAAATTAGAAACCATTGACTTGTAGGCCTTGAGCTCCTTGCATATTAGGGACTAAGTGATATTTGGGAGTGACCAAAGCTGAAATGCATTGTCCTGTTCTCTAAGCAGGGCACTGTTATCAGTCTAGCTCTTTAGGCTGCTGGCCCTGCTTCACCCTTTGTCTTCATTCTCACACTGGGGGCATCTCAGTCGGCCAGGCTGGACACTGATCATGGTCAGCAAGTGAGGAATGTGTATGCTTAACCTGGAGTTCCTGACACACATCACTGACTGGATCCAGTTGTTGTGTAACAACCAAGGAGGTGTCTTGAAATGGGAACCCATTGGAAGGAGACTGCTCATTGCTGGTTTTAAGTTGCCAAAGTTAGGATGACAGTCCTGGACAATGAACTCCCATAAGAATAGCTAAATCTGTAGTAAAATACTAGAATTAATGTAGATTCCAGCTTGTTACTACAAAGTAGAAATACAGGCTGTGGGTAGCACTGGAAATGTGATATAATTGATGTAAAAGAAATGCTGTTAGATGCAAATGAACAGGCAGTACAGAGCACCTGCATAAATTGGAGAAGGGAGTACTATTCAGTTGGGCTCGTGTACTTGTGTTTGCTTTCTTTGTTCTGTTTCAGTATGGTTTCAGACTTTGGTATCTTGCTCTCTGGTTAATAATGCCCACATGGTATGCTTTGGTGATGTACTCAGGGATGCGGTAATGTCAGGGGAGGAGGAGCTCCCAGCAGGGCTCTTACAAGTGGTCCCATTCGCTGGCAATGCCAGCTGGGTTTCATAATCTCTTCTAACATGTAGGTCAGACAGCCGCCGCTGCTGAGAAGCCCTCTCATCTTTCCTTCAGCCCCACTGAGTTTCCAGGTATCCTGTTCCCTCCTGGACAGGGGAGGCAGTGCTGAAGCCATCGCTCATATGCTGTGTCCTCCTTTTCGTTCACAGGGGACGGTCTTCACTTTGGAATCCGAAGAGGAAGAGTACCCCGGGCTCATCGCGGAGGACAGCAATGACATCTACATCCTGACCAGTGACAACTCGGGACAGGTGAGCCCCCCGGAGTCCCCCACGGTGACCACCTCGTGGCAGTCGGAGAGCCTGCCCGTGTCCCTGTCAGCGAGCCAGAGCTGGCACACAGAGAGCCTGCCGGTCTCCCTGGGACCCGAGTCCTGGCAGCAAGTGGCCATGGATCCTGAAGAAGTCAAAAGCCTGGACAGCAACGGCGGGGGTGAAGAGAGGAGTGAGAACAACTCTTCCAACTCAGATATTGTTCACGTGGAGAAGGAAGAGATTCCGGAGGGGATTGAGGAGGCAGTGGTGGCAGCTGGTGCTGCACAGACAGTGCAGGCAGTGTTTCCAGAACCCCCTGCTCCTTCACAGGAGGTAAAACCTCCAGCTGAAATTGCTGTTGCTGAAAAAGCACATCCCTCTGCACTGCTGCGTGCAAAACAGGAGGAAAAGGGAAAAGCGGCTGAAGAGCTTGTTGAACCTGAAACCCCTGTACTAAGTAAACCTGCCCCAAAGTTAACCCCATCAGAAGAAAAGGCTGCACCAGAACCTGAGAAAATACTGCTTCCAGGGGAAAAAATAGTAGGGAAAGAGGGCCGATTGGAAGAAATGGAAGAGAAACCCTCTGCTGCAGAGGAGAAGCCTATCCTACTGCCGGAAGGGAAATCTATACTGCTGTATGGTGGGGCTGCTGCGGTGGCCATACTAGCTGTAGCAGTCGGAGTAGCGCTGGCGCTTAGGAAAAAGTAAGGGGGCTCTCGTGAGGAAGAGGAGGAGGAGGGGGAAGAGAGAAGAGAGCACGATCCCATTTTTGTAGTTGTGTTACCTAAAGGTTGAGCTGCCTGCTGTTTAACTGGACGTTTGAGTAACTTACGGGTGATGGGGTGAGGTCGTTCAGTAAGCCTCCAGCTATGGACAATCAAGTTTTTAGTAGATTTGGGGCGGGGACTGGTTTTTCGTGATTAAAGTACAGGGGTATTTTTAAAAAACAACAATTCTGCAGATTTCAGAACTGCAGGTGCTGAAGAAAGGGGCGCTCGTACTCTAGGAACTGGAACAGAGAATCCCCAGGGGAAGGGGAGAGCCAGCTGCTGCCAACCCCTGGAGTTTGTGGCTTCTCAGACTGACCGCTATTGCAGCTGTGCTGTCTTGTCGTGCCCCTGAGCCCCCCCTCCCAAACAAACATTAGCCAACCTGAGTCCTGTAGCGAGAGGCTGGTCTCCCTTTTGTCTCGGCTTCTCTCAGGTACAGCACTGCTCCTCGTAACGTCGCAGGTTCCTCCTAAGCCCCAGTGGGACAGTGCTTATTCTTACCTCTTTGCTCACAGCGGTTTTGGCCACTCACATTTACTGGAGCCCCATCCTGTAAAGATGCTGCCTCTTGATAGCTGTATTATCTCTGAGCATCTGGGTGTTCCTGGGGGAGAGGTGCAGGACGCGCTTTGGCTGCCCAGGAGGGACGCTGCTCTTTGCTGGTTTGAGAATCCATTAGCTCCATGAGTTACCAGAGGTGCAGAATTCATGCTGGACACAGTGCCATTCTGATCAGAATTGTGACACCAGGGTATGTTCAGCCAAGACACAACAAAACTATGTGGAAGCGAGGCCTCTGCAATTCAAAGGTTAAAGGCTCTGCTGTACCATGCTGCAGTCTGTACTGTCCTTCCCGGGTTCAGCACAGTGTATTTAGTCCTAACTTGGTCTTGGCTGTGACAGAATCCTAGGTACATAAGGCAATGGATTCTGGTGACTCAGCAACACAGCATTAAACATCTCTTCTGTCTGCCTGTTCCTGAGCTGACCTGAGTTGTGTTCAGTGTGATTTTCCCTGCAATGCTGAACCTGTGATTAACTGAACTTACAGGTTCTCAAATGATGAGGAAATTACTTTGGCAAAAAGCAGGCACCCCACTTCCAGTGTGCATGGAGGGAAATGAGTACTGCCATACGCATCAGTTACGTTGGATGCACCTGTAAGTGCTCCTCTCTGTCCCTGTCCGTGCTGCAGCTCTGTGCGCCAGACCCTGGGCTCTCCTGGCCAAAGCAGCAGCACAGCTCTGAGGGCTTGTGCTGGCACTGGGGCTTCGGCCAGGTTGAGGTAGGAGGGAGGGGACTCAGGCTTACAGGAAGCTGACTCTTCATGAGCACAAAGACAAGGTACTTCATTCTGCATAACCTTCTCTAGAGTACATCTCCTACTGAGCCTGTTTCTTAAGTGAGCTGAGAATGGAGGGATTTTAGCACATTCTGTACTTTAGGATATTGTTGCTGTATTTTCCTATCTCCCCCTGTATCCCGGGATGCTGGGAAGTCAGAACCTGGCAGATTCTGTGGAAATTTTGGTGTTTAAGCTTTGATGAGAGTGGCTATTTTTTGAAAACTCACTGGATTTTGCAAAGTGTGTGTGAAGTTGAATATTAAGAGCAGGGTTTGTTGCGTGTGTACTGCTGCTGCGGACTGAACTCAGGAGCTCTGGGGTTCTGAATACCACTGTTGAGCACTGATTGCTCTTTATCCACATACAAATTATATCAGGTCAGCCTTAATGGAAAAAGAAACCCTTTATCATGTTGCAAAGCAGAGTTGACTCTTTTTTGCCATTTCCTGGTACCCTGCTGGTATTCCTATTGCTGTGCTGCATGCCCAGAATGGGTCTCTGGGATCATCTCATGCCACTGATTCTGGTGTCTGCCATCCCAGCCCCTCATGGGACCTTCCAGGGAGCGGTGTCTTTATGTTCCTTTTGTCACGTACAGGCACAGTGTTTACAGGTTTGCTCCATTTCACATGTCCCAACAGTGCATATCTACAGCTGACACAGCCTGGGTAGGCTGCCCCTCTCCTGATGCTTTGCTCGTGGTGTTGGGAGAAGGGCTGTTCTTGACCCAACCTACTCAGCCTCTCCTTACAGAAGATGCTGCACCTGCCCTTGGGACATCCCCCACGTGTAGCCATGTAGTAGATTACACAGAAGTACCCATGCACGTGCTGAAGCAGAGATGGATTTTGTGGCCACAACAGACAACTTGTGTACAGACCGAGGGGGAGCAGGAATGATGGTGTTTTAGCCCTTCTCTCTGCACGGTTTTCAGTAGGAGTGTGGGAGATGGGGACAGGACTGAGGAGGATAAATCCACACCGGGTAGAGAAGACATCCCTACTTTGTTGGCATAGGGTGTCCAGCAGGGCATTAAATGAAAAGTACATTCTTCTACACACAGGAAGAGAAGGTGGCAGCAGCAGTAAGGAAGGTAAATTCCTTTGTTCTGTTACATGTTTTCTTGGTGGTGCAAAAGCCTGCCACTAGATTTAGTGGAGTATCGGCTGCACTGCGCATTTTGATTACTTGGTCCTTTCTTTATATTGTTCTTGTTTTAGGGTCTTGTAGATTTGACAAGTCAGCAAGAATTCGTACCCTCTTCTTCCTCCCTTCCACAAACCACAGGGTTACACATGATAAAGTTTCTGTCTCTTTCCTCTGGGAACACTCCATTGACAAAAAGAGCTCAGTTATGGACTTGAATTCTACTGAATTTGGATCCCTGCGGTCAGAGCTGGGACAGGCCCTGTGGAAGTCACAAAACCTGAGGTGACAGTGTTCTTACAGACTTGAGTGCCAGGCTGCTTGCTCTGTTATAGGTGTGGATTAGAGAAAGGAAGGGTTTTTCTTCTTTCCCCCCATCTTCAAGTATACTGAAGTAATCCTAAACTGCAGGATCTAATTACCCCAAGCTGTGTGAAACAGCTTCTCTTCAGTGGCCCCCTTGCAGCTGAAGAGGAAAGGCAGTAGCTCTACACTTACACTTATGAAAGGGCATATAGAATTACTCTCACTTGTGTTGCTTACCCCCTTCCCAAAAGTGCCTCAATATCTGTCCTTGAGTGGCCTGTACCTTAACGAAATATCTACCTTAGACCCATTCTTTCTTCACTTTGTCCCTGTCTGCAGCACACCCTAAAGCTGAGATGCTAAAACAGCAGAGGACCGGATCTATGAAAAAAGTGGTAAATACTTAAGGAACTGCAGTGCTAAACAAGGAGCTGCCAAGGAGAAGGCTTTCAAGAGATGGTGCCACTTAAATTCAGTTGTGCTTATCTCTAAGCTGTGCTCATTTGGGTGCTGCTGCTGGGAGCTGGGCAAGGGCTGCCCTCAGCAAGTGTCCCTGAACAGCAAGATGGGAGCAAAGGCTTAAACCTAGAATCCTGTTGCACAACAGCCCAAGCTGCAGGCACAGAGCCCAGGGTGGACTCCTGCCATCTAAATTCCCTGAGCAGCAGCAGCTCCATGCTGCAGGGCTGTAGTTGGCACAGGAGTGCCAACTTGCTCAGCTACAGCAAAACAGGAATGCTGCTGGGCACACAGAGTGGCAGCTTGGAAACATCACATTTCGGTTCCCTTTGGGCAGGGTGGACACCAAGTAGGAGTTCTCAGGGTGGCAGTTTGGTTGCTGAAAAATGCTGATGGTAACTTAGCTCTAAAACACTAACTCTGGCCCAACGGACCAGGCCAGAGCCAAGACAGAACCACTTCTGCCGCAGCCTTCTGTGGGTTCTGCTGGGAGTCACCATCTCCTAGCCCCGTGCCAGCAATGCAGCAGTCTGTGCACCTGGGTTGGACACCAGTTTAAAGTCTGGTTGGAGATGAAGTGCCTCTTGTTGTGGTGGTTGCAGTTGGCTGTTTCTTTCCTAACCTGCCTTCTGGAGAGCAAGTTACTACTACAAGACTCCAGCCCTGCTGCTTGTGAGAGTCTGAGTTCTCATCATGGCTGGGGCTGGGTTCAAGGGCTGATGAAAGCTGTCATTGCAAGTGCTCCTTCCCAGGGCAAGTTCTGCTGCCAGAATCCTAGGTCCTTCCTTTCCACATGGCTCTGACTGCAGCGAGGTTAATGCTTTAGACTGTATTTTACACTAAGCAATGCTTTCTAATGGCCACCAATGTAAAATTTCATTAGTACTGGACATACTGAGGTTCTTAAGTTTGTTCTTGTTTTCAGTTTAAGGCTTAGAGTAAACAAAGTAAGCTGGAGTTATAACCCTTCCCGACATTTAATTTCAGCTCCAGCAGTATGGCAGCACTAGTACAGCCCTAGTGAGGAGATCTTGCTATTCTGGCACAAAACCTAGAAGTGCTTCTGGCAGCATCATCTCTCACTCACTGACCAGAGCAAGCTCATGCTACAGAGCTACTTGATTCTGCTGCTGTGGGGTGACCACAGCCCAACTGCTGTGCCAGGTCTTCAGCATGTCTCATGTCAGGCATGAAACGTGCCGCAGGCCAAGTCACCTGTATGTGTCTACTCCACACCACAAGCAGACACATACAACAGTAGTAGCGTCTACTCCAGTAGGCTGCACAACAGGATAAAGTGGTTCCCAGTGAAATATGGAGAGGTGACACATTATCTCCTGTGCCTAGTGAAGGCAGCAGCTGTGCACGACTTTAATTTGGCTTAGTCTGCTTAATTTGAGCACTGGGAAAGCTATGAGAACAGTATTGCTTTGACTCCATGTACATAACCTGTGCTTCAAAGTGCAAGCTCTCTATTGCCATTAAAATGAAGGGGGATGGTGGTGGTGGTATAAGATTTAAGCCACCACTCCTTGACTCTTGGGTCCATATAGGGCAGAGGCTGCAGGGCTGGCTTTGGGCAGCAGCACTCAGCATGTGTGTGACTGCTGAAGTGACCTCCCTGACTGGTGTGCTCAGCTGGGGTATGGGAACAGCCCCAGGCTGGACAGGGTGAGCCCAGGGGAACCACACCACCACATGGCCCAGGTCCACCTCCTTAAGTTAAATCACCATCACTTTTTTCCTACTTGGAGCTGACCCTCTCTTGGTCTCTTAGGAAGGCTGCCTGGCTTCCTCCAAGAAAGAGGCCTATGGTTACACTGTAGAAGTTAGGGAGCTACAGTTAGCTCCCAGTGGAAGCTGCTTCTGATCCCTGCAGTATCTGCAGGGCGGGGAAGGAGCACTATTGGTTTGGACAGAACAAGCTGCAGAAGATGCATCGCACTGCTATACATTTAGGGGGCCTGTCCCCATTTTTAATTTACAGTACAAGCTTTTATTTGAGTGTAAAGCTAAAACCCACTCAGACCAAAACTATGCCACTTGCTTCATTAAGTAGCAAAGACTAATGGGGCTGACTCTGAAGCATGCATGTTAGGGGCTATCTATCTTCTACTAGGCTTCTGGGTGTAAGCACAGTCATGGACTTGCAGGGATGTCAGATTCTATGTTGGAGAGGCCTGTCTGGGGGGGAGAGACCCTGACTGATCCTCAAGTCACCCATTATCCAAGGAACTGGTCATATTGTTCCTCTTTATATGCAAGTGCAGCCCTCTTGGGGAAAACTGGCTAAAGCTTCTTGTGCCATTTGGTTAATAAAAGTGTTTCCACCTTTAATAGTTATTTCCAGCTTCATTGCTCTACATTCAGTTTAAGTGAAGGGGTATGTGCATTTTTTTCCCCTCTGCTAATGGGACACTGCTGTAAGACCATGCCCCCCAGTTGCACTTTAATAAATGGTACAGTTTTCAAAAACCATGTGTAAACTACTTCTGTGCTTTTCTTCCCCCCCTCCCTGCTCCTGTGCAGGCACCAAAAGGAAGAAAAACTGTGGTTTTACTTAACACAAGGCCAGAAGCCGAGTTCTACCATAAGCAGCAGTAAATGAGAGAAATGCCATGAGTACTTGCACAAAAGACTAGCACCACCGAAAATAAATCCAGGTGGAAACTGAAATGAAGAGCTGTACTGCCATGAGAACTGACAATTTTATTTAACTTAAAACCCCTACAAAATATTTACAACATTACAAACTTTGAGGCAGCTGGATCACAGGTGAAGCCTTTGCCACCGTGTGTGTGTGATGACAGGTACGTATCAAACAACCTGAGCCCAAGTTTGTTGAACCTGAGATGTGACTGCAATTCATAAGAGATGCCACTGATTCTTCCTGACCCAAGGCTGATACCTTCTGGTTATAGCAGGATCTGCTAAAGCTAAACATCTTTCCTCAAGCATATCCAGATTGCATTCCCCAGCAGAATTTGCCCTGTACCTACCCCTGCCCTTTAGTTTCTCATTTGATTTTCAAGCAAGCATAGGTTTATGGTGATTGATACAGAAGTACCTTTACTTCAGCCTTCCCTGGCCCAACACCTCCTTTAGGGTTGTTCCCTCTTGCTGCCAGGTCCTCACTGAGCCAGACCCCCTCCATGGCCTGCACTGATCAATCACCCATTCTACAGCCTGAGGCCTTCCTGGGAGCAGTTAACACTCTTGGCTCAGCTGCAGCACCAGGAGCAGGGGTGGGAAGAGAACAACTAAGGAAAATGCCACAGCTGATTAGAAAACAAACTACTGAGAGGGCAGGCTCTGTGCCCACAGCATTTCCTCTAGAGGCAGAAGCCAGGGTCTGCATGAAGTCTGCTACTGCTAAGAAATAAAAGAAAACACCCTATTTTAAGATGAGAGAGGGCAAGCACTACTCCTTACAGGCACGGCAGAGCTGGCGCTACCATCAGTGCTGTGCTACTCTACAAAAGCCTACCTACTGAAGCTCTGCCTTTCCTTTCACAGCTGTATCTTATGTAAGAGCAGAAAGTGATTGGCATACATGAAGAGAAGTAAAAAGTCTTCAGGAATGCACATTCTCCACATGGAGGGCTGGAGAGCTCACTCGCGCATCTAGGGGAAGCCAGAACAGAATCAGTGTTAACAGCACAGTAGCTGGAGAGCCATCCTGTGCCCAGCCACCCACCTGAGGAGCCACGCAGCTCCTGCAAGTCCCCAGCACCACCAACCGTGCTCACCTCTGCCACCACCCCTCAGACCCCCTTCCAGTGCTAATGGGGCTATCAGTCCCCGGGGGGAACAGTCCCTGGTGACTGCCTCTGTTCCCCTCCTGATGCAACTACATTGGAGTGGTGGACAGCTGACCCAGCATGAGGGCCAGCATGACACTAGTGACTGGTCCCTGTGATACCTCAGCACCCTTGAACTAAGCTGAGGACAGTGCTCAGTGACACCTCATGTGGCACTGCACTTGGCAAAGACCTGTAGCAGGCAGCTCCCTGGTCTCATGACACAGGGTGAGCTGGGCCCCTCTGCAGGTTGCTGCCAACACTGCAGCAAGGCTGCAGCGCAGGAGTGTCCCACAGACCTGCAGCACCCCACAGCTGGGTCACCACTGCTCCCCAGGGTGGCAGGATCACAGCCCTGACTGCTTTCAAGTACCGTATAGTCTTAGTATGTCTTCATGCACATGCCTTCTCCCTTCCCCTGATAGGGTAGTTACTGAACCTGGCTCCAAATGCCCTAGCCCCCATCCTGGCTGGACTGCTGGCTGTCCAACCTCCCACTTAAGCTGTGGCTCCAACAGAGAACCAGAAGGGAGCTGCCACTTGCCAGTGTTCCTTTGTTGGTGCTCTTTCTCAGGGGCAATTCACTTCCCCATGCGCTTGTGCCAAGCTCTAGGGAGGCCAAAAGTACAGACCTCAGGCCCAAGACATTTGGGAAATGCAGCCACCATGTTTGTGGTCAGGCTTTCCTTCCCTGCAGGCATGATTAACCTGAGTCTGAAGGGCATAGCTCCCTGAAGAGACTGCAGGGAGGAGAAGAGCCATCACATCTTTTCTCTGCCCCTCTGCTACTGTGAGTGGGGCAAACAGGAACTGTGACATGACCCCCTCAAGCATTCCCCCTCCGGCACACAGGGACTGCCATTCCCAGCACTCACCATTCTGGCAATGTAGTTGTGAAACTGCTGGCTGATGTAGTTCACAGTGGTGTTGAAGACACGATGCAGAAGGGAGGGCATTGTATTGGCGATTTTTTTAGTTAAGACCATTGCTAGCACCAACATGGCTTTCTCCTGCTCCATGTCTGAGGGGATGGCTTGTGCAAGTCCTTCCACTGCCTCCGACATGAGCCGGGTTATCTCCTGCATGGAAGGAAGGGAGAAAAGGGTCTCAGTGAGCCTGCCAACACTGTGCTGGTAACTAATGTGTTTGTTCCGGCACCCCACAGGATGCTGCTCCCCTTCCTCCCAGGCACAGCCACCTGCCTGTCACACATCCTGGACTGCAATAAGGATGACCATCTCTGACCCAAGACAAAAAGAAACGGACACAACACACATACCACTGGAAAACCTGGATAGCACCTTACACACTCTGGGTGCAGCAGCCCCCCTCCTCCCCAGGGTTTGTACCCAGTCTGCCAAGAGCTGAAGTGGCACAGGAATCCTGGGGCTCCTGCGAAAGGGTAACCAACCTTCACCAGTGAAGATTAGTGGTACAAGCTACAATGGGGATTGGCAGGAAGGCGATGCAAGTTTCACAGAAAAGCCTTCACACAGGGAGGAGCTAGAGAAGGTGTCCAAGCATGCAACAAACACTGCCTTCCTCTAGATCAGTTTCCCATAGGGACAGTACGCTTATGCACACAGCTAACTACACTACTCATGTGGAAAAGCAAGGTCCACCTTGTCAGAAGTTCAGTTTGTGTCAGCCTTATCAAAGACTGAAAGGTCAGACAGCATATTTGAGGGCCTGAAACTTAGCTGGGTGGAGAACAAGACAGCAGGAGTGGGGAATGGTCAGACTGTGCTGTAATCAGTCTGTGCAGGTGATAAACCCTAGTACAAAACACTCACAGTGCACACACACGAAAACAAATCCCAAACCAAAACCACACACAGAAGATTGTTTTAAGTCATTCAAACCTGCCTTTTCAGCAAGAAGGTGGACCCTCAATTCAAACACAGCATTAACTTGTAAAGCATAGGAAACCTCATGACAGGCAGAGAAAGCCATAAAAGCAAGAAAGCCAGAGTTATCTTGAAGGTGCCAAATAACTCTGCAGAAACAAGTTGTGACTCTTGATCCAGTTGTGGACCCAATCTTTAAAAATAATAGAGGGATGTCTAAGACAAGGGACCTCAAGCAACTTCCCTTGCAGAGCAGTGAGCCACATAAGATGCTGGGCCAGGGACTATATCACATCTGTTAGTGGAAGAGCAACTGCATCAGAGTGGAGCTGCCACCTTAGCAGGTCACCCTCCCAGGCCAAAGCCCACTGCTGCTCCCAACACTGACAGCCCCTGAGCTAAACAGTTATGGCACTAGAAGAGGGTCTCAATATTTGCTGCCCTTCCAGTGTTCACAGAGAAGCACAAACCAAGCTTCTGGCACTGAAACTGCTCAAATTCTACCCACGTAATGAGCAGCAAACATGAGGGACTCAGCGCCAAAGTCACAAACCTTTAAGGACAAATACTGAAGCCTTAACCAGATGGTTGATTTTTAAAAGATAAGCCATTGGGCCAACAAAAATGAGGACAAAATACCTCTGAAAGTCAATTCTCTTCCACAACTACCTCTATTTCACCATCTGCAGAAAGGAAATGAGCCCAAAGAACCTGATTTGTGGGGTCACAGCTGCCACAGGATGCAGTGTCACCCCTAGCAAAGCTTCAAAGGTTAAATGTTTGGGCTGAATTTAAAGATGGCAATAACTGCCCCAGCAAACTAGCAAAGACTGAAGCAACAAGCTTGCAAATTCTTTATGTCACAGCAGGAAGGATGCACATCTAAAAGGGGAACTGCTAGCCAGGCTGCTTTTCACTCACCTCTCGAGAGAGATTCTCATTCAGAAAGTGCTGCACTAGATCATTTACTACTCTTGCTTTGATTTCTTTATCAAACTTGTCTCCAGCCTCAGCGAGCTGAGCAGCAATGAGCCGGACAACTTCGTCATGCACCCGAGGGTCAAACACTGCCAACACATACAGCAGGATTTAGCTCACAGGCCGCAGTCAGACAAGGTTCAGCGCAGGTCAACTTTTTGCCCACCTCCACTACAACCTCCTCCCCCCCCCATCATAGTGCATTCACAACAGGTATACACCCTGTAACTCGCTTGTGTGCACTTGACTTGGTTACCAGAGACAGTGTGCAAACAGGTTTTTATCTGTAGTTTAGGTGGAGTGCAGCCTCACCCTGCCCCCAAAACACCACAGGAGAGGTTAGAACATCTCCAACCACAGTCTGCACACGACAGGTACAGCCACCACCCTGCCCAGAGAGCGAAAAGACCACATGCTTTTTCCCAAGTAACTACTGCCTCTTTAAACACCATCTCATAAAATAGTTTGGGTTGCAAGTGACCTTTAAAAGTCATCAAGTCCAACCTCACCCTGCAGTCAGCAGGGATGTATCTCTTCAACTAGATTTGAGTGCTCAAAGCCCCATCCAACCTGATCTTGAATGTTTCCCACCACCTCTCTGGGCAACCTGTGTCAGTGTTTCATCACCCTCACCATAAAATATTTCTTCCTTATATCTAATCTGAATCTATCCTCCTTTATTTAAAAGCCATTACTCTTTGTCCCATTTCCTTTAGGCAGAGTTCCCCATTGAGACCTATGGCACAAGACCTATGCGGATCTGTGAGGGAGGACTATTTACTCTAGCACTTTCTCCTCACCCTGCTTAAGGCTGAGGTCAATGTGCCAGCTGACATATCGTGGGCAGGGGGCAACAGTAATCCTGCAGATCACTAGTGAAGCAGGATCGGTACCAGAAACAATTTAGGCATCAGTTTGTACCACACTGGTACAGCAGAAAGGGACTCACCCACTACCAGACAAAAGTTGTTCCAAAATCCTAGCTCTAATACTGATATTGTCCAAGGAGCAGCGTGAGGCCTAACTGCTTAATATCATGCTCCTTGAGGACAGCTATCACTAGTACCAGCTTTGTGGCACTGTCTGATGTGCTACAGCCAAATCCCAGGGTGATGCGTGCTCTAGAAATGCATGTGGATATAAAATGTTAAGCACTAGGCTGTCTTATCTAAAGCGTTAGACTCCCAGCCAACACCACCACCACCAACTGCCACACTGTGAAGTTCCTCTATGAGGAAAACATCACTCCTCCAAAGATGGGAAAAAGGTAAAGGCCACCACCACCTTCAGAGATCATGCAGGATGGAGGAGAGAGCTCTCACCTGGCTCACCGTTCCGCATTTGCCCGCTCTGATTGCCATCAGTCTGAAGTTCTGCATCATCATAGGAGTAGTCACATTGCCATTGAAACCACTCTTTCTGCAGGGAATGCAGTTGCTCCCTGAACTTACAGTCAGGGGATACCTCCAGGAAGGTGTACAGCAGTGTATGCTCCATCTGGACAGATCCATTGATCTTCAACAGAAGAAAAAAAAACCCACTGTTATGCCCATGCCTAGGAAAAGTCCTGCTCAAAATGTCTACACATAGTCCATTTTCCAGCCCTGAACACATTTCTCTGGCCTCCTTTGGGCATCCTGAGCAGCATTAGCCAGGGAGCCCACAGGACATCAGCAAATGCATACCAGCTCCCGAACGTGCACCCACACAGAACTGCCTGATGGTGAATGATGGATAGCTCTGCTCTTACAAACAAGTGCTGGAAAAGTCAACTCGCTTCCTCCTCAGATCTGCAGCTGTGGCAACGACAGACTCCCTGATCAGAGTACCTCTTTTGAAGCAGATGTGTACTCAGCCCTAGCCACCCACTTCTCCCTGTTCAGACATCTGTGTTTGGAATGTTTTCACCCCTGCCTTTGATAATTGGGCACTCTACTTCCTGTGCATAACCAAGCCAGCAGCTCCCCATTTAAATGTAATCAGAGCACAGCAGTAACAGGGTGGAAAACAGAGATAACAGATAGCATAAGGCTGAAAAAAACCTCAAGGTTCACATTTCTTCTACCTCTTCAAAGGGATCTCAACTAGCTCCACAGTAAAACCGTTCACTTCCCTGTAGAGAGCCAAACAATTGCTCACATGAGTAGTGACGGTGAGATGGCAGATCACTGAGGTCTGGTAGAACCTACCCTGGCACATCCCCTCCCCAGTACAGGCACATGCTGCCCCTGCAGCCACACACCTCACTGCCTTCAAGCACAGCAGCAGAGTGCCCAAATTAGTTAGCTTGAGGAGGTCCTTGAGGCAGACTGATGTGAGCAAGAGGTCTCAGCGGAACACAGGAGCTCACAGTCAACTAAAGCCTCTGTACACAACCAGGCAACTGTCTAATAACTTTAAACACCTAAGAGCGGGATGTTGTGTAAGCACAGCAAAAAAAGGGAGAGGAAAAAAAAGAATCCTTACTCTGGTATGCAGAATGTCTGCCTATAAGATAAGGAAATGCTTAGGCTTAAATATAACTAGGGAGGAGAATCAGGGGTAAAGTAAAATGGTTTGTCTTGCCAACTGCAGAGGGTGATAAACATGCAGTCAGGATGAGCTTGATAATTGAAAAGGAGTTTTAGGTACCTTCTGGGGAGCGGAACCTTGCAAGGCCACCTCTAGCTACATAACCATATGAGTACCACCCAGGACCTATACTGCCTAGGCAACAGCAGCAAAACTGGGACAAACACATAAAAAGTAATTGAGGATGGGTTGTTTAGTTGAGAGGAGACTGGGCAGAGAAAAGGAGGAGCAAAGACAACAAAAAGTCCAGAAATAGAAGCAAATGGAAAATACGGCATATGATCAAAGATCCACAGAAGAGACATCTTCCATGATCTGAGCATGGACGCTTACATACACTAGTGAAGCTCATATGGTGACCCAAGCTCACCAGTGGCAATCCCCCTGAACAAGCCACTGGACTAGTCACCAGGTTCGTGCTCAAAAGGCTTGTAGGAGAGCAAAGCAAGGAGCATTACAGTTGTATCCTAACACTAGGTGGGGTGGGGAGCACGATAAACATTTCAATAGCAGTTCAATGTAATTAAAATTTAAGTGTGATAAATAGTAACTTCATAATTGTTTAATATTGCACAAGAATGCAATAAATTGATCGGTGATGTGTCTATTAATTTATTAGTTTTAGTAGTTTATATCTTTATCATAAACACTGTAGTCTCTTAAATAACTATATTTCCAGCCTACAGTTTAAAGGAGGAGCATCAGGCTGCTCTCAAGGATGCAGCTTGCAAACTAAGTGGTTCCATCCACTTGTCTGTATTCAGAGCAGTGTCAGGGCTCCTGCAGGAACACTGAAGGTAAGGACATGAGCCATCACTTCAGGACTTGCACCCTTTGAGGTATCCTGGAACAAATGCACAAGAGAACCATTGACACAAGTCACATTTGGATCTAACCTGTTCCATGATGGATTCAGAGACAGCGCAGCTCTTTTCACCCTCTGCTTCAGACTAGAAGTCCCTGCCCTGCAAAACAGAAAGAAAAGGATGAAATTTCCCATAACCCCACATCTTGCAGCAGTGCTCATGGGTCTGGCCATATCTCATGGAAAATGACCTTTCTAGTGGTGCATATCCGTATTTCTGGAGAGCTGCCCATCACACACTGGCAGCCATAAAAAAAGGTGAGGAAAACACAAATGTCCCAGCAAGAAGGGCCCTATTCACATCAATGATGGACATGAAACTTCTTCCTGCCACAGCCACATGTGAGACAGTGATGCAACATAACCTACAAACAGGGCTTTAAAGCCAAGAGGTGGTGCTGGGAAAGGCAGGGACAATCCTTCATAGCTAGAGGCTGGAATGTAGAGCAGTGTTATCACAGAGGAGTTCCTGAGCACCTACTGAGAACAGCTGAGTCTCAGCGCACAGCAGTATATTCTGAAATGAAACACACAGCTGACACTGCTACACATCTGCAGCACTTCAAGTGCACTTCCCTCACCCCCATGCGGGGATACATGCGCGTACTCAGGCTTATTTCAGTGTTTTCTCCAACAAATATCTAGGGATAGGGAAGGCTGGACCAAGTGCCATCAATGGCTTCTAGTTACACGAACACAACTCTGCTGAGCCTCCAGGGAGGCCTGCTAGGAAGGAGGGAGAAAACAGGACTGAGGTCACAAGCTCTTCTGCCCCTGTGGTGCATGCTTACAGCTGACAACCCTTGGCCTGCCTTGTGCCTGGGCAGTACCAAAGGGAAGAGGCATGCAGGGAGAGAAGGGACATGGTGCAGAGGGTGGCCTCCCTCACCCACAAAGAAAGGGGAGCTGGTAGGAGCACAGTGCTCCCTCCTCACCCAGCCAAGCACAGCTGATGGCTGGGTCAGACCAGCAGCCCGAGTAGTCACACATCTGTTACAAGGAGTCCCAGGGCAAGAAAGGCACTACCAAAACAGCACAGCAAGGGCCAGTAACACAAAGCTACCTAGCAAATGCCAGGGCAGGGAGGATACAGATCCTATTTATGAACCTTGCATTTGCTGTCTTAGATGCAGCAGTCTCACAACTGCACACAGAAGTCTCTTGTACAAGTTGGCTTCCACTCTTGCTGAGCAGGACTCTAGCTGAAAGTGGGCAGCACCTATCCACCAGGCCTTCTTCACCAAGGGCAACAACCTGGCTGCTATGCAGCTATTGTGACCATATAACTTCTTACCAAAACCAGGGTGAAAGCACCAAGGAGCCCAAACAGATAGGCTGCTATGAGAGACCTGGGCTAGTGATGAATGGTCTTATTTCATTGTAACAACCCCTCACAAATGTGTTAAATAACTAAATGTGCTGGTGGAAAAAAGGGAGAAAGTGAAAGCACAAATTAATTCAAACTCTGAAGGAAACCACAGTAATAATTTCATGAGACCATGAATTTCTCAGCTTTTCAAAGTCCAAAGCACAATCTCAAGTATGTCTAAATACACAATAGCTCACAGGCAGCCTCTTAGCCACGAGTTCCTTTTACATTTAATTGTAAGATATGACTAACAGCTTCCTAGAACACAGCCTTAGGCTTAGCCTTTGCTGCTTTGTGTCTCTCTGTCCCATTCAAGCCCCTGTTGCTGCTACTCACCTCTGCCCTAAAGGGTGTGCTGGCTGGGGAACACTGGAGTTCTCTCTGTCCTCTCCTCCAGACTTGACGGTGCTCTGAAACAGGTCAGGGTGCCCCTTCTCCCAGGCCTGGCTTTGCTGGAGGAGACACGGGTATTAACTGAGGTTGGAGAACTTGAGACAGAATCCCTGAGATTAAGAGTGAAGTGTGGATTTTAGCAGTACACCTGTCTGGCTCTGGGCAAACTCCTCAGGAGTCACCCACATCGGCAACATCCCTGTGAGCCAGGCAAAGCTGCCACTTGCGCATCTTTTGGTTTTATATGTAACATTTTCAGAGTAATTCAGCCCAAAACCAAGGTGTGCATGCTACACTTAGTAAACAGTGGATATCCTCTGATACTAATTCCTGCTGAGTTAACACCACTTCCTGAACCACCACGGCTTAGCCCACAGGAAGCCTGAAGTAGCATTGGGCCTCTGCTGACCACATCCCATTTGTCTTGAAGCCCATTCCCCACCCAGCTCCAGCCTGTATCAAAAGACCAAAAGCTTCATGTGGGACTACACCAGCACTCCACAGGTGGTCACATTAACCCATGCTGGCTAATTCTGGCTAATCCTCTATTCACACCACACTACGTACACAGAGGGCCAGATGTTCTCCCACAGTCCTGGCAGAGGTGTGATGCACCACAAGCCACTACAGCTGCAGGTCACACACAAGTGGTCAGATGTGCTGGTGAAACTGATGTAACACTGAAGAGATTTCTCAGTCACAAAGCACTCTACAGCACAGCCTCTTGACCCAAACCTGGCCAAACTGTGCCAGGGACCAGTGAAATCTCACAGCTAAAGAATGGAATAGAAACCAAAGTAAAGACACTCCCTTTGGGAGTCTGTCACCTGCCACATCTTTCCAAGGAATGCTCAGAACGTTTAACCGTGGCTTTAAACCCCACGTTCTCCACGTTTTTTGTCACTGTTCCACACTGCTAGGAAACTAATGTGGTTTGGTCCAAACGCTCATGAAAGAGGCAACCAGAAAGAAACGCACTATTGTCTTCTCACTCTCCGCTTTACAAGCAGCAGCACGGAGCACTCCAGCCTGGGAAGGAAGGGAGGCACACTTCTCCTTCCCAGGGCAGAAAATGCAAGTCAGAAAGACCCAGATCTGTTCTAGGCATGCCCATATAGCTAGCCCTACAGAGGCAGGACGCAGCAGATGGAGCCTATCTCTGCCTGTGCATGTTCCTCACATCAGTTCCTGGAAATGCGCAGGAAAGGTGCCTGTCCGTACCTCTACAGACCGAAAGAAACACTGTTTTGAAAGCACTTCTGCTTTTCAAAGAGAGGCAGAGGCTTATATGTTGGTTTTGGCAGAAACATGCTCCCTGGGTGCCCTGCAAAAGTAAAACACCTCAACAGGGGCCTCAATGCAGACTGAAAGGGGCTGTGTAGCCCCTGCCCTGCCAGGGTGCCTGCTGCACTGTTAATGGGTGTGAGAGGGAAGAGGCCTACATTACATGCATTACTTCCCTTGCTCTCAGGGGATCACCTCAGCTCTATGTAATGTCAGACACTCCTGGGGCAAGGCCACAAAAAAAGGTATTAATTTAAATCAGTTGCAAGTTTGTTTGGCCTCTCGGGCACATCAGCAGAGATAAGACAACAATGAAAACTCCACCACACTCCAAAGTACTTAGGTGGCAAAAAGTTATGATGGGGGGGATTGACAATGATAATGTACTGAATTCCCTGAATCAAAGCAGCATCACCCACGCAATGGAAGTCCCTGACAGGTTCCAACCCTCAGGCAATAAAGTTCTGCTTGGGTGGTCAGAAACATGCCAGAGAACAGGATAAAGGATTTCTCTCACACCACAAAATGGCTCCCTACTACAGTGCAGGTATAGTTGTAGGTCATTACTTTCCATCAAAGCAAAGGCTTGGGTAGTCACAACATTCCTTCTGAGAAGCAAAATTCCTTATGTCAAAAAAACTGGCCCCCTACAAAGCAAACCCCAAAGAGTCAAATGTCACCATCATGCTGAGGCCCCCCAAGTGACTTTAGAAACCTCATAGCTTTAGATTAGATTAAGACCTTTTCTGGGGGATGGAAAAGGCCTTTTCATATTGGATGAAAAGAATCTTTAGCTGAAGAATGAAAAAACATGAGATAAAGGTTATAAACACCATTTGCATTCAGATTCAGAGTGAAACCAGAGCATTTGCCAAGGTTGCTTTAGGGCCTTAGAAAGTCTTAGAATAAATATAATGGAGTATGAATTTTTCTGTTTAAATTGAAATACTGACTAATTTTAATTCATTATTCCTTTTCACACTTTCACTCATTATACAGCAAGTTTCATGTGATAGCAGCTGCTTCTGAGAAACCACAAGATGCCTTAAAGTGTTAAGCAGATAAGGCTACAACCAGTTTTTTGGATCAATTCTTTCCATTTCCTTAGGGAAAAAACCCACAGATGGCATTTTAAACACAAGTTTAGGACCCTTAAATAGCTCTAAACAGTCATCGTGGGCATGGCCATTCCAACTCAACACTGTGCTGGGATACGGGACTGTGGAAAGGCATAGGTGAAGTAAACATAGTCACAGCCAAAGCACATCTATCAGCCTTTTGTCAGTGCAGAAGGACAAACCCCATCCCACACCATGCATACCAGTTTTCATGAGACTGATTCTGTGGAGGCTTCCCCCAAGGCAATCACAACTTTTTAGAGGAGGCTGAGTACATCCTGAGATATGATTATGTACTGCTCTCCTCCAACAACACAGGTCCTTCAGGTCTGGTGTCCCATCTTCTTCCTCTTAACTCCAAGCTGTATTAGCCTTTTTAAATCTTACAAATAACTCAGCAGAGCAGCTGTTCCCAGCTGTGGCCCATTAGTGAGGGGTGGCAACAGAAGAGGACAAGGTCAGAAACCCCCAGTTCCAGGTGTTAAGGAGAGATGGCACTGCAAGGATGTAGGGCAGAAGAGGGGGAGAGGCAGGACTGCAACACAATTTGCACTCCATGGGTCTCTTCCTTACCTTCATTTCCTCCCACACCACTGAACCACCTCCTGCAGTTCTGGGAGGGGCAAGTTAGGAAAGAGTCCTGTCCACTGTCTAGTACTCCTCTCTTGCTGATGGTGCCATGCCATCTTGGGGCAAAGAGGCAGCACTGGCCATAGCTGGGCTGAAGACAGAACAAACCAGATCCTCCCTGCAGTACCACTGCTACATACTATGGATTTCAAAAGCAAACACTGCAAGCACATGTTTAATTTTCCCAGGTGAGGAGCTAGACATGGGAAGAATACAGCTGCAAAGTATACAAGGCTTCACCTGCTGTACCTCCCAGCACTGCCAGCAGGTCATCAACAGCTTCCCACATGGCAGCAAGAATCACCTGATAGCATATTGTTGCCTGTTAGG